CATCCCCCTCACCCCCCATGTACTAGGACCTTAATTGTCCTCATATCAAAATTGAGTACATAGGATTCTTGCGTCTCCATTCTTGTAATGCTTTACTAAGAATAAGGTGTTCCACATCCATCCAGGTTAACACAAGAGATGTAGAGTCTCCATCTTCTTTAGTAGCAAATATTATTCCATGGCATACATATACCACAGCTTGTTAATCCATTCCTGGGTTGGTGGACATTTAGGCTGTTTCCACATTTTGGCGATGGTAAATTGAGCTGCAATAAACAGTCTAGTGCAGTGGTTCTCAACCTTCCTAAAGCCGCGATCCTTTCATACAGTTCCTCATGTTGTGGTGACCCCCAACCATAAAATTATTTTCATTTCTACCTCATAACTGTAATTTTTGCTACTTTTATGAATTATAATGTAAATATCTGAATTGTAATGTTAATATCTGATATTAGGCGACCCCTGTGAAAGGGTCATTTGGCCCCCAAAGGAGTCGCGACCCACAGGTTGAGAACTGCTGGTCTGGTGCAAATGTCTCTATGGTAAAAGGATGTTTTTTCTTCTGGGTAGATGCCCAGGACTGCAGGATCAAATGGGAGGTCCAGCTTGAGTTCTTTGAAGATTCTCCATACTTCCTTCCAGAAAGGTTGTACAGTTTGCAGTCCCACCAGCAGTGTAAAAGTGTTCCCTTCTCTCCACATCCACGCCAGCATCTGCAGTTTTGAGATTTTGAGATGTGGGCCAGTCTCATTGGGGTTAGATGATATCTCAGCATGGTTTTGATTTGCATTTCTCTAATAGTTAGGGACAATGAGCATTTTTTCAGATGTTTGTTAGCCATTCATCTGTCTTCTTTAGAGAAGGTTCTATTCATCTCTTCTTTATTTCACTTTTAAACTTTCCTTTTCAACCTCTTCCTCCTAACAATTAACATAATGTCCCTACTATAATCTATTGGTGTGGGTCTAAACCAGGGGCCAATATATTTTCTCTGTAAAGAGCCAAATAGTAAATATTTTAGGCTTATGGACCATAAAAACTAGCTGTAGAGTTGCAGCTACTTAACTCCACAGCTGTAGCATGAAAGCAGCTATAAATGATACATAAATAAATAAGTTGTGGCTGTGTGCCAATAAAACTTTACAAAAACAGACAGCCTACCGGATTTGGCATGCACAGGCTGTAGCTTGTTGACCACTTGTCTAGTCTGCAAAATGTCGTGGGAGTGTCAATTTTGCTTGGGAAATGCTAGTGTTTAGAGCAGTGTTTGGCAAACTAGGAATGGGTATGGGGGATGTATCAGAATCACCTGTCACCCATATCTTGTCTTTGCAGAATCTCTTATTTCAGACTGATCAAAGGGAGAATGGATGAATTTCCTAGTTTCCTGTCCAATGCCAATTTTAGTATTACTGGAAATATGATGTACCATCCCTACTCCCTAAATACATTGCAAGAAGTGTTCCCTTCTCAGTCCTTCCCACTTGATCTTATGAAAGCATGGCTGAAGAACATTTCCAACTAAAAACATATCAGGAGCCAGAAGATGCAAACGTTTTTCTGAAAGAAATCTCAACAGTTAAATTAAGAACAGAAAATAAGGCAGGCACAGTGGCTCATGCCTGTAATCCTAGCACTCTGGGAGGCTGAGGCAGGTGAGGTGCTTGAGTTCAGGAGTTCAAGACCAGCCTGAGCAAGAGAGAGACCCTGTCTCTACCAAAACTAGAAAAACCAGCTGGGCGTTGTGGTGTGCACCTGTAGTCCCAGGTACTGGGGGAGGCTTATGCATGAGAATTTCTTAAGCCCAAGAGTTTGTATATTGTGAGCTATGATGCCATGGCACTCTACCCAGAGTGACTCTGT